GGGCTACACACTTTGTAACAACCAGTTCTCCTGAGAAATCACTCACTGTTGTGAGAACAAATCTGCCCCCTTGATCCAGTCACCTTTCACCAGACCCCTTCTCAAACTTGGGGATTACAATTTGACATGAGATTTGGGCAGGGGCACCAATTCAAACCCTTTCATATAGCTGCATTTTCTTATATGCCATTTGCTCTTCACATGGTTGTATATGTAATTTTATGTCTTAGCCACAGAAAGCTCTTTTTAACATTTACTTTGTTTGGCCTTGCGAACTACAAAACAGAAATAAATGAGCACTGTTGTCTTATTCCTGTCTCTAGGACTACAGGATCTAAATGTAAGAATTTAGCTCGTAGATATTAAGGGACATATAGATAGTATAAAGTTACAGCTCATAAAATAGAATCAGACTCTTAAGCTGTAAGTGAGAACTTATCCCATCTAGCCTCATTTTATTAATATAAGTGATGAACTGAGGCTCAAAAGGGATTAATGCCTTCCAAAAGGTCGTGAAGCAGTTACAGGGAAAGCCGAACTCGAGTACAGTTAGTGTGTTTTGTGCCAAAGTCATGATGTTCGAGTTCTTGATGTTGCTGGCCTTGTGTTCTTTCCTTTCTGGGTCCAGTATCAGCCTTTTTTTCTCCTACCATCTCCAGAGGACTCTGGCTGTTTATGGGTACATCCCTAGCAGGGAGGGAGTCACCTTTCCATTAATTACATTACATAGTTCTCATTGTCCCTGATACATGGCTGCTTAGCTTCTCAATTGTACGTGTAATTTTTCCACTTGTACTTAAAATTATTTTAGATTAATAAGAAAACACTGTCCTTGTAAATTGTTTGACCCCTTGTTTTTCTCATACTCCATCAAAATGCTTTTTAAAAACTCAAGGGTTAGAGGTGTCCTTTTAATGAAAAATTAAATAGTTTGGTGTCCTGACCTTTTGTTGCAAAAATCATCTATCTTACAATGGATGTTAAATTTTCATAGCTTTCCCTGTAGTATATCTATCACAGAAACAGCAATGTATATTTGAGGTTGATAGACCGTTTAAGTTTTATGCCAGCTTTGAATGAAATCTTTTGTAGACCTTTCTGGTCTGTGATAAGAATTTTTCGTTAATGAGTTAGGGACAGCTCTGTGTGCTGCTTTCTTCTAAATTGAAATATATGATTCACATGTTTTCATCTCTACAGCCTGGGGCTATATGCTACAAAGACTGAATTGAATAGGTCAAGTTAATGGATTAAGACACATATTCCCCTGACATTTCTGGCTGTGTGCATAGCATTCTAAGTGAAATATACTTAAATAAGATCTTTTTTGAATCGTGCCATTTGGATATTAAAATTTTGCAATGCATTTTAAATTTTTGAATCTTTTGCCAGTAGTAAGATTAAGCTCCTTTTTCACTTTATGAAGAACTAGAAGTATTTTTGACCATTTGATCCATAAGCTTATTCTTTAACTTAAATCTCTACTTCTGTCATTTTTTGTAGCTGCATGAGAGTATATATATCTTGGTTTTACATTTTAGTAAGGAAGGTTATATTTTGTCTTAATATGCTATAGTAACTCATCACTTATCTTGAACACAACATCACAATAATTTCAACTCTCCAAACAGACAAGAGCCAGACAGTTTAAAATAAAAAGGTCAGGAGGAAGGGGTATGAGATGAAAGATTGGCTTTCAGTACAATCTGTAACTTTGCCCACAGAAGTTTCTTCCTTTACTCACACATAACCTATTTTTTAATCTTCCTTAAGGCAAAGCTTTAATAAGGTAAATTATACAGTTTTCATGTCCACAGCAGGCTACAAGCAGCAAAGTAGAAGAAGTGATTAGACCATGTGGGTACATTGCAGTGAAGCGGAAAACCCAGCAGCCACAAACACAACTCAGAAAGCACCATGTCTTTTACTGTGAAGCAGTGGGGCCCCTGCCTGCCTACCTAGCCCCAGGATTATTCCAGTAATCATTGGTGTTTGTAATGTTGCCCCTGAATCATTCAAAAGAGTGTTAGAATGTCCTTTGAGCTCTTAAGAACACAGAGAAAGCAAGATACATTTTAGGAAGATAAGCATCCCTAAGCTTTTTTACCCACCACTCAGCTCTCTGTTGAATTTTAACATATTGCCATATTTTTTAAAGAAATAAAATGTTCATATATTTGGAGCCCTCTTCTATCCCCTTTCTTTCCCTCCTATGAGTTGTACCATCTTAAACGTCATCATCGCCATTTCCATGCATATTTTCTCCTGGTACTGAATATAAGTAACACACTAGACACTACACACACACACACACACACTCCCTCTCTCTTCTCTCTCTCTCTCTCTCTCTCTCTCACACACACACACACACACACAAAGAAGGAGAGAGAGACTAAATTATAGGAGTAATCTTTTCAAGTTTTTGTTTGTTTTTTTGGTTTTTGGGGTTTTTTTTTTTTGTGAGACAGGGACTTATTCTGTTGCCAGGCTGGAGTACAGGTGCACCATCTTGACTTACTGCAACTTCCACCTCCTGGGTGGAGGTGATTCTCTTGCCTCAGCCTCTCATGTAGCTGGGACTACAGGAGCGCACCACCACGCTTTATTCTCCTGCCTCAGCCTCTTGTGTAGCTGGGACTATAGGTGTGCACCACCATGCCTGGCTAATTTCTGTATTTTTTAGTAGAGATGGAGTTTCACCATGGTGGCCAGGATGGTCTCAATCTCTTGACCTCGTGATCCGCCCATCTCAGCCTCCCAAAGTGCTGGGATTATAGGCGTGAGCCACCTCGCCCAGCCTCAAGTTTTTATATAAATGACATTATACTGTACAAATTTTCTGTGGCTTGATTATTTTTTATTCCATTTTGGGATTCCAACTATGTTGATAACCTTTGCTATTTATTTTAACTATTATTTCATATCCCATTATCAAAATTATCACAGTTTATTTTTCCATTCACCTCTTGATAGATTTTTATTAATTTTTGCATTTTTTGACATGACGCATAATGCCACAATGAATATTTTTATATCTATCTTCTTTGTAAGCATGTATGCTGTGCTCTAGGATGTGTTCTTAGAGACCTAGAGGGCATGAGGGTTTACACAGCTTCAGCTCTGCTCTGTATTGCCAGATGATGCCACAAGTGCTTGTACAGATTTCCTCTCTCACTAGCAGTATCTGAAAGTTTCTGTAGCTGCAGATACTCTCCAATGTTAGGTTCTATTTGGATTTTTTCAAAATTATATCTAATGATCTAATTTGCATATTCCTACTTTGTCCTGTGGTTGAGCATAGTTTATGATTATGGTTTATTTGGATTTTTTTATGTGAGTTGCCTTATATATTCTGTTAGCTGTTTATCTTATGATTATTGATGTATAGGAGTTTCATCTGTATTCTGAACACTTAAAAGTTTCAAATACTTTCTCATAGTCTGTGACTTATAAACATTTATAGTGTTTTTATTATACAGAAATTAACAATTTTAATAGAGCAAAGCATGGTAGTTTGTTATTGTTGTTATTGTTGAGGGCATCTTGCTGTGTTGCCCAGGCTGGTCTTGAACTCCTCCTAGCCTCTGGCAATCCTCCTGCTTTGGCTTTCCAAAGCACTGAATTACAGGCATGAGCCACTGTGCCCAGCCAAGTGCAAAAAAAAAAATAAATATGTATATTATATTTTATAAATATATATATTTATATATTTATAAATATATATTTATTTTTAATAATAAATAATATATTTTAAATATATTTATAAATAATAAATAATATATTTTAAATATATTTTAGTATTTAATTTTTAATATTAGATTTTATATAAAAATTATAATTTTTTAATAATATATATAATATATAATATAATATATGTATATATATCTTTTCTTATATGGCTCTGCTTTTGCATCTTTAAGAAATTCTTCCCTACCATGGAGGTCGTAGATATTTACATCTAAAAATTTTAAAGTTTGCTTTTCACTTACTGTTAATTTGCTTAGTTTATTTTTGGTTATGGTGTGAGATTGGGACCTACTGTTTTCTCCTATAGATATCCAGTTATACCAATGTCACTTATTGAATGATTCATCCTTTTCTGTTAGCAGTTGCTACATTGCATGTATCGTATTTTGAATATCTGCATATGCTTGGATCTGTTTCTAAGGCATTTGTTTCATTGATCTGTCTTACACTGTTTAAAATGTGTCTTTAACCTGTTACCGTATCTGCATCAATTTGATATATGGTAGGGTGAGCTCCCTTATCCTTGTTGGTATTCTTCAGGAGTATCCTGGCCATTCTTGGTCTTAGATAAATTTTATATGGAATTTAATTTTAAAAGTATATGTAATACACATGGAAATTAATTTTTAAAATTCTGTTGAACTTTTTTTGCAATTGCATTGCATTTATGAATTAATTTAAATATATCTAGTTAATTACAAAACAAAAATGTTTGAGTGCTTAAAAGAGTAAATCACTAGGCTTTTACAAAAATTATTTGTCAAGAACAGCCAATTCCCCAAGAGTTCTGAATACTCAAGGTTTTATTATATTAAATGAAAAAAAGCACACCATTTAAAACTTCATTCATATATTGGGGTGATTCAGAAAATTAAGTATTTAAGCATCTTTCATTTTTCGTTATACTTGCTAATTTCTACATCAAATATTTATCAATTGCTTGTTTTATGTAGGACCTTCTGCCATAGAATATAACGGTGGTTTGAAAATCCCAACAGCCAGTGGTAGAACAAATGTTATTATTTTTTAGTGCATTATATTTGCCATAACTCACACTTCTTAGGTGTACCTCAGTTGATGTTGGAGGAAAACATTCCCCATGTTTGCTGCATGTCATGTGTCAGATAGCCTATCCTTTTCAGATTTGCCTCAAAAAGTCCACGTGGTGTTCAGAAATAATGGAATGTTGACTCTCTTTCATCTATTCGGGCTGAACTAATTACTTGCTAAAATTCATTTTTGTCTCTCTCTAGAGACTTGCAGCCACTACAGGAAGCAAACAGCGTAGTCGCCTCTCTGTTATGGCTCAGTACCTCTGCAATGTTCGACACATCTTTACTATTCCAGGACGAGCTTTTGTCCCCAAACCAGAGGTGAGTTTCTGCTTGTTTGTTGCAGTATATCAGAATTAGGACCTTTGTTCCCCTGAGATATGTCAACCTTATTCGGGAGAAGTACAGTGTTTGCACATAAACAAAGGTTAGATCCTAAAGGATGCAAACACTGTACTTCTCCTTAATAAGAACCACAAAAATCATAGTATGAATACCTAGTTCTTGTTATAATTGTTCTTCACCTTAGGTAGGGTGACTGAATGTTTAGGTTCATGCATGTTACCCTGGTGGTAGTATCTTTCATCATCTTCGTCATCATAATTTACTCTAAAAGTATCCCCGTATGGAAGATAAGTTACATGGACACCCAATATTTGAGAAAAGAAAGAAAATACTTCTGTGATTTCTCATTGAGGCCTCTACCTAAAGCTACATCAAACATTATTATGATTTTTTTAACACTTTTTTGGGAGACCTTATTATGTTAGTGTTATTTGTGATAAATCATCTGCAGAAAAAACAGTTGAATATTAAACTAGGCTTTGACTATTATATGCTAGTTACATGAGTAAGTGCTAGTTATAGAAACAGAGTTTCTCTGCCAAAAATTAAAATTAAAAAGCTGGTATCAATTTTAGCAAAACCACTGCTTGGTGAGTTACTGCAAGATGTGTGATATAAAAAACTCACGTTTTTCTTCAGTGAATGTATATTGAGCATTTACTGTTTGAAAATGGGCTGGGCAGCAAGGGGGAACAACAGGGATATGAGCCTAATCAGATACAGAGTCTGCCTTCAGGGAATTCACAGCCTCATGAGGAATAGAAATTTCTCATTGGTCCCTAAAACTCTCAAATATAAGGTCTTGCAGAGTTTCTCTTACGTCATGTATCCTTTATAAATAACAAGAGATAGCATGAAAAAATTTGCATTATGTGACTATACATTTAGATACAGATTATAGATTTAGAATGGGGACCCCAACCAATAGTGTTAGATCTACTTGTCTGTCTTGAAGCACACGATGAGTGATCTCCATGCTCTTCGCTGCCACCTTCATACTTCCTCTGCCATTTGGCCAGTTAGCTGGGCATTCAGGTGACTAGGAAGTCAGGCCATCTTTCACTTACGTAACAGACGTAATTGTCAGCTTTTTCTAAAACGAGCTCAGGGAGCTTGCTATCAGTGCCACCCTCAAATTTCAGAGACATTGCAAATGACTTTTCCCAGAATAATTAGCTCCAAGACAGAATTTGATGACTGGAGATACTTTATAGGTTATCTTCAAATTTAAAACGTGTGCTTTCAGGGACTTTCTCTACTAGTACAGGTGGCCATTCTAATGAAAAAGAAACCAAAAAACCAGTGACCATGTAGCTTGCTTTCTTCTCGTCATCCATATCTGTGTGCATAACATTTTAAATAGTGTTAAGACTCATTATTTTTTATTATATATACTTTAAGTTTCGGGGTACATGTGCAAAACATGCAGGTTTGTTACATAGGTATACACATGCCATGGTGGTTTGCTGCATCCATCACCCTGTCATCTACATTAGGTATTTCTCCTAATGCTGTCCCTCCCCTATTCCCCCCTCCACTATCCCTTCCCTAGTCCCCCACCCCTCAACAGACCCCAGTGTGTGATGTTCCCTTCCCTGTGTCCATGTGTTCTCGTTGTTCAGCACCCACTTGTGAGTGAGAACATGTGGTGTTTGGTTTTCTGTTTTTATGGCAGTTTTCTGAGAATGATGGTTTCCAGTTTTATCTGTGTGTCTGCAAAGGATATGAACTCATCCTTTTTATGGCTGCTTACTATTCCATTGTGTATATGTGCCACATTTTCTTTATCCAGTCTACCACTGATGGGCATTTGGATTGGTTCCAAGTATTTGCTATTGTGAACAGTGCCACAGTAAACATATATGTGCATGTCTCTTTATAACAGTGATTTATAATCCTTTGGGTATATACCCAATAATGGGATTGCTGGGTCAAATGGTATTTCTGTTTCTGGATCCTTGAGGAATTGCCACACTGACTTCCACAATGGTTGAACTAATTTACACTCCCACTAGCAGTGTAAAGTGTTTTTTTTCTCCACCTCCTCTCCAGCATCTGTTGTTTCCTGATTTTTTTTAATGATCACCATTCTAACTCATGTGCGATGGTGTTGCAATGTGGTTTTGATTTGTATTTCTCTAACAACTAATGATGATGAGCTTTTTTTCATATGTTTATTGGCTGCATGAATGTCTTCTTTTGAGAAGTATCTGTTCATATCCTTCGCCCACTTTTTGGTGGAGTTTTTTTTTCTTGTAAGTTTGTTTAAGTTCTCCATAGATTCTGGGTATTAACTCTTTGTCAGATGGGTAGATTGCAAATTTTTTTTCCCATTCTGTTGGTTGCTGGTTCACTCTATTGATAGTTTCTTTTGCTGTGCAGAAGCTTTTAAGTTTAATTAGATCCCATTTGTCCACTTTGGTATTTGTTGCCATTGCTTTTGGCATTTCAGTCATGAAGTCCTTGCCCATGCATATGTCCCGAATGGTATTGCCTAGGTTTTCTTCTAGGGTTTTTATGGTGTTAGGCCTCATGTTTAAATCTTTAATCCATCTAGAGTTAATTTTTGTATAAGCTGTAAGGAAGGAATATAGTTTCAGCTTTCTGGATATGACTAGCCAGTTGTTCCAACACCATTTATTAAATAGGGAATCCTTTCGCCATTGCTTGTTTTGGTCAGATTTTTGAAAGATCAGATGGTTGTAGATGTGTGGCGTTATTTCGGAGGCCTCTGTTCTATTCCATTGTTCTATATCTCTTTTGGTAGCAGTACCATGCTGTTTTGATTACTGTAGACTTGTAGTATAGTTTGAAGTTAGGTAGTGTGATGCCTCTAGCTTTTTTTTTTTTTTTTTTTTTTTGTGCTTAGGATTGTCTTGGCTGTGCAGACTATTTTTTGGTTCCATATGAAATTTAAGGTGTTTTTTTTCAATTCTGTGAAGTCAGTCAGTGGTAGCTTGATGGGGATAGCGTTGAATCTATCAATTACTTTGGGCAGTATGGCCATTTTCACAAAATTGATTCTTCCTAACCATGAGCATGGACTGTTTTTCCATCTATGTCCTCTCTTTCTTCTTTGAGCAGTGGTTTCTAGTTCTACTTGAAGAGGTCCATCACATCCCTTGTTATATTCTACAGTATTTTATTCTCTTTATAGCAGTTGTGAATGACAGTTCACTCATGGTTTGACTCTCTATTACTGGTGTATAGGAACGCTTATGATTTTTGCATATTGATTTTGTATCCTGAGACTTTGCTGAAGTTGCTTATCAGCTTCAGGAGATTTGGGGCTGAGACCATGGGGTTTTCCAAATATATAGTCATGTTGTCTGCAAATAAAGACAATCTGACTTCCTCTTTTCCTGATTGAATACCCTTTATTTCATTCTTGCCTGATTGCCCTGGCCAGAACTTCCAATACTATGTTGAATAGGAGTGGTAAGAGAGGGCATGCTTGTCTCGTTCCAGTTTTCAAAGGGAATGCTTCCAGATTTTGCCCAATCAGTGTGATAATAGCTGTGGGTTTGTCATAAATAGCTCTCATTATTTTGAGATGTGTTCCAACGATACCTAGTTCATTGACAGTTTTTAGCATAAAGGGCTGTTTAATTTTGTCAAAGGCCTTCTCTGCGTCTGTTGAAATAATCATGTGGTTTTGTCTTTGGTTCTGTTTATGTGATGGATTATGTTTATTGATTTGAGTATGTTGAACCAGTGTTGCATCCCCGGGATGAAGCCAACTTAATTGTTATGAATAAGCTTTCTGACGTGCTGTTGGATATGGTTTGCCAGTATTTTATGGAGTATTTTCGTGTCAATGTTCATCATGGATATTGGCCTGAAATTTTCTTTTTTAGTTGTATCCTTTCCAGCTTTTGGTATCAGGATGATCTTGGTCTCATAAAATGAGTTAGAGAGGGTTCCCTCTTTTTGTGTTGTTTGGAATAGTTTCAGAATGAGTGGTACCAGCTCCTCTTTGTACCACCTGTAGAATTTGGCTGTGAATTTGTCTGGTCCTGGACTTTTTTTGGTTGGTAAGCTATTAATTGCTGCCTCAATACCAGATTTTGTTATTGGTCTATTCAGGGATTCAGCTTCTTCCTGGTTTAGTCTTGGGAGGGTGTAAGTGTCCAGAAATTTATCCATTTCTTCTAGATTTACTGGTTTCTTTGCATAGAGGTGTTTGTCATATTGTCTGATGGTAGTTTGTATTTCTGTAGGATTGGTGGTGATATCCCCTTTATCATTTTTTATTGCATCTATTTGACTTTTCTCTCTTTTCTTCTTTATTAGTGGTCTATTTTGTTGATCTTTTCAAAAAACCAGCTCCTGGATTCATTGATTTTTTTTTTTAAGCATTTTTTGTGTATCTATCTTTCTCAGTTCTGCTGACCTTAGTTATTTCTTGTCTTCAGGTAGCTTTTGAATTTGTTTGATCTTGCTCCTCTAGTTCTTTTAGTCATGACATTAGGGTGTCGAGTTTAGATCTTTCCTCGTTTCTCTTGTGGGCATTTAGTGCTATAAATTTCCCTCCAGTCACTGCTTGCGTCCCAGAGAGTCTGTAAGACTCATTATATCAAAAACCAAGATCTTTACTCATAAACCTGTATAGTTATGGTTATTACCATTATCCAAAATCTCAAGGCTATTTAAATTTTACCAATGGGTTCTTAAGATAGATATTAAAATGTTTTTAGCGGAGGCTTTCTAACTCTGTTTCAGTTACCTAGTTGAGATTATTTGATGGTACTTAGAAGTTATTATCCACTTTTATCTTTGATTTAGGGGTAAGGTACATAGGTAGTTTATTAAAATTTACTTCTCTGGGATTAAGGCCACAAGAAAATATTTATTATTTGGAAAAAAAGCTAGCTGTGTGTTTGATTCTTTTTTTATTGAGGGATGTTTATGTTTTGTCAAATTAAGCATTTTCATAGCAATTTACTTCACATTTTTATTATAACTATTACATATGT